AACCCATCACAGCCTTGTAAATACATAATTACCTATGTGCTTAAAAGATTTTTTTTTTTCTTGTCAGAAAGGCACAAATGTTTATAAGTTTAGTGTTTACTCTAATTTATGGTTTTGCTTATGGCACAAAGCTGTAACACAGTGTAATTTTATTTAAAAAAAAAGAACTGTAATTTGAAGTTTCAAAAGATAGAAGAAACATTTTTATGCATCATTTCTAGTGACATTTAAAAGAGTAGATGTACGCAGAAGTATGCTTGTTCAGAGTAGCAGAGATGATCAACGTACAAAACTAAGCTGCTATCCAAATCTTTTACACCAGCAAACTATGCTCATATTTAAGAACAAAACCTAATATTTACAAAAGCATTAAACAATGAACATGTTATGACAGATGTTTTTATCCTTTAATACTTTTAAGCTTATTGCATGGCATTTCCAAGTTGGAACATTGCAAAATGCCATTTATTTTAATCAAAGACACTAAATCCAGAAGCAAGACCCAGTAATGCTTATAACCTGTTTAAGACTGTATTTTGAAACTCAAGAAACCGAGCAGTTGTTTTTTAACAGCCAATCATGAAAGCCTACTGCTTGTTTCAACATTGAACAAGATGTTACTAGAAGATGTCAGTCGCTACATCCCATGCTTGGACTGTAACCATGTTTAGCACTATACTAAATAATATGTTTCATACTATATTAGCGTAGATTTTTCTTTAATATTATTGCTATTATTATTATTATTGAAGAAATTTAAATATTTTCTGTCACCCTTAAAACATTTCACAACAGATTGGTAATTCTGTGGCCCAATTTTAATAATGGATGCCCTAGACGTAAGTGATCTTGCTTAACTGCCCAATAAGTGAAGAGTTCTATTATTGTGGCTGCAAATCTGTAAAGTTAAACTAGAGCGTCAATGCAAGTTCCAATTTTCACCAATTAATAAAACTTCTGGATTGAAGACTCAAAGAAGACACTGCTTCCTTTGAGGCTGAAACTTCTTGTACTGGGTTTCACAATACAAGCTTATGCCTTTTAGTACAAGTTTAGATGAAAGTGAAGGTGTCATAATTACCTTGGAAAGCTCATCAAGGTAGGGACATGACAAGAGAGATGGAATACTTTGGGACACTTCTCACAGCAAAGGAGCTCCCCTCCATTTTGACATACTGCACACCAATCTTCATTGGGATCATCCTCTTTTCTACCCTCTCCAATGTGGGAAGGGCCCATCCATCCTGTCTTCCCACTGGACGAGTTCTCCTGCAGTATCCCTGGTTGATCATCTGTGCTGTCCGGTGCATCTGTTCTTACGACAGTTTCATCAGAAGCAGAATTATGATTGCTATCTAACAGCAAAGAAGTAAGTATGCTTCTTGAAAAGGTGGCCTGTAAGAAGAAACAAAGGAATCCAGATTATAATATTTATGTGAATTTACATGACCCTAACAACAAATAAGCTGATCAGAATAACACATTTATATGCAAGCAGCCCTACAACTTGCTACATGCATGCAAAATTTACTACTGTACCATAGCATCATAGAATCATAATCACAGAATCATTAAGGTTGGAAAAGAACTCAAGGATCATCAGGCAACTAAACACAAGAAACTAGCCATGAAAGGCTATTTAATGCCCCGAAAATAAAAGACTAATATTTCATGCCCCAAAAGTCTAGCAAACTTATGTATGTATATGCACTGTGATTAGAAACATTTCCTAGAACCCACATGAAAATTTGATGTTTGCAAGCTATTTCCTGCCTTCCCAGCTTTTCAATGGATAAAAGCAGTCTGATCACACCAGTTAATTAATTGAATTAGCAGTAGAACTAGTTTGGTTCTGAACTTCACCTCTTCTTTTTATTTAGCTTTTTATTTTTTTGCTGAAGAAGTCCCCAACAGAATATTAGTAAATTATTTTATTCCCCATAAATGCAAAACACCCTCTGCCAAAGAGAAAGAAGATTTTTATAACTTGATATTACATTCTGAGGACGGGATTCCTCATCTGTTTCTTGCTTCACTGTAACAACTGGGAAATCGAAGTTCTCATTTGGTGCACTTGACTCCTGTTTAATTCTGATCGGCTCCAACATGACAACCGGAACTTTATGTGTAGAATCAGCTCCTGGTGGTCTGCTGGAGGAGCCAGAACTGTCAATAACAGAAAGAGGCAGGAAAAAAAACCAAAATTAAGAGTCACAACTGGATGCCTTTTGTACGCTGATGCTTTCTGAGACCTCAGCATGCTAATCTATTTTGCTTCTTTGAATCCTGAGCACTACAGTATTACTTTTATAGAATACAACATCCAAGTTTATTTCCTTTCATGTATATTGAAAAGGCAATTGAAAAAGCAAAAGGGAAAATTTTAATGGCCCAGTTCCAGAACTAGAGAATTACTCATGGTTTTACTTTCCATTAGAACAAGACTCGCAAATCTGTTTCTTTTAGGTAATACACAAAAAAAAGCACTTCCACTGAATGTCATCCCACTTTGGAGGAGATGCAGCTGTATTTTGGGGAAGGCCAGTGTTTCTCCAGAGCTGAACTGATCATTGTAAACCACACAAATGAATAAACTAGATAAAACACATATTTATCTTGGAAGAGTTTCTTATAGCCTTGAAGCATTACCAAAACTGGGACCCTACTTTTACAACTAGATCTTTTTGCATGTGTTTAGGCATAACAGGATGAGAATGGACAACCAAACTCAAAAATACCTTCTTCTTTTTATTATTATTATTTTTTAAAACAATTAAGAATTTTAAATCTAACAGAATGAATTCAAGTGGCAGCAGCTGGAATCACATCTTTTAAATGCTAGTAGAAAACTCTTTAGACAAACATTTAAATAGTTCATAAGAGTCCTTCACAGAATTTACCAGGTAAAGGGAATAGAGTAAAAGGTATTCTGTATTAAAAAGCAACTGCAATTCCAACTCAAATAGGATGAATGTCATCTGATTTTTCTCTGCATGAAAAATTAACCTCATGTCAGATGTATGCTCCAATTTACGGGAACACATTAATGGTCCTGCACTCTTCAAACAACATTGTATAATTCTATTTGTTCATTAATATTCCATCACTTAGAGATAAAAACATTTGTGTAGCCTCTCAGTAGATATCTAGTGCTCACTTAAATAATTGTATTATGGGATAAAATTCATAATAACCATCTTCCTAACATCAATTTCTTAAATCTGAAGTCATTTACAGTTTCACAAGGACTTACAATAAATATGCAACTTTTTCCTTTAGCTGATTTTTCTGAATTTAAAACCTAATTTAGAGTTGGCATTCTTTTAATAATGCCAACCTAGCCATCATTTACAGGGTTAATACATTTTTAGATGCGCTATTAATACATTACAAATGTAAATACTACTTTTAGAAAGCAAAGAGTGCTGTGATAACCATCAGGCCTGGCCTGTTAACAGAGAAGGTGAGGCAAATTGACTTCTATATGCATCAATGAGCAAAGAGACTGAGGCATGTTCTACGGAGGTGAAAGTTACATTTTCTTCTCTATCAGTCTTCCCTTACCTCTCTCTGCTCCCAACACTGGAGGCACTGGGTGAACGAATTGGAGGGTGTATGTTTGTCACACTGACTCCTCCTACAACAGAAGACTCATATTAGAACAAAACACAGATCTATGCCAAGTCTGAGATGTGACTCACAGAAGTATAGAGGTTTTGGGGAAAACTTCTCCTGCAGTGTCGTTTATTTAACCCATATCTCATTTAATACAAATTCATGAGAGGATGAGAAGCATGAGAAAAAGAGGGAAGGAGAGGACTGAAAAGGGGCCCATCACATGTAGCAGGCTGATGGGTCAGTACCTTGGCTTGGCTGACCCCTCCACTTGATCACTGCAGTTTGTTTTGTCTTACCTTATTAAATTACAGCAGGTATCTCAAGAGATCTGCTAGGAAAATTTAAGCCAGATGAGCCGGCGAGTAGGAAGAGGTCTGGGGGCCAGATATGAGAGAGACCAAAGGTCTGGGGATCAAAGAGCCAAAAGACTTGTGAAGGACATTTTTGCTGAGCACTGGTCCTGAGAAACCAGAGTGGGCTGTCTGCGCTGTCTGCGAATGTATGATCGACTTGTCTCAGCTAATCTGCCTAAGCACGTGTGTGAGTGCACAAACATTGCACGAGTGCTTACCGGCTCACTACAGATCAGATCAGGAAACGGCAGTAAGGAACAGCTGCTGATTGCAACCAGACATGGTGACAGGAAGCCCCTGTGTCCTTCAAGCCCACCACATTTAGCTACCCATAACAATAACTTCTCTGGTCAACCCATGTCAGTGCTGCACTACCCTTCCAGTGAGAAAGATTTTCAAATATCCAAACTGAACTTACAAATTCACTACTTGTAGCCACTGTCTCCTGTTACATCCTATCTTGCTTTTACAAATACTTGTCTTTTACCACAGCTTCTAGGTTTTAATTTGGTGTAACCCTAAGAGTGACATTTCTCTATGGACTTCTACGCAATCTGCAAAAATCTTGGGCTGCACCAAAAGAAGTGCGACCAACAGGTCGAAGGAGGTGATTCTCCCCCTCTGTTCTGCTCTTGTGAGACCCCACCTGGAGTACTCTGTTCAGCTGTGGGGCCCCCAACATAAAAAAAGACCTGGAGCTGTTGGAGCGAGTCCAGAGGAGAGCCACGAAATTAATCAGAGGGCTGGAGCACCTCCCCTATGAGGACAGGCTGAGAGAGTTGGGGTTGTTCAGCCTGGAGAAGAGAAGGCTCCGAGGAGACTTAATAGCAGCCTTCCAGTACCTGAAGGGGGCCTACAGGAGAGATGGGGAGGCACTCTTTATCAGGGTGTGTAGTGATAGGACAAGGGGTAACGGGTATAAGCTGAAAGAAGGCAGATTTAGATGAGATATTAGGAAGAAATTTTTCACTGTGAGGGTGGTGAGGCACTGGAACAGGTTGCCCCTCAGAGGAACTGTGGATGCCCCATCCCTGGAGGTGTTCAAGGCCAGGCTGGATGAGGCTTTGAGCAACCTGGTCTAGTGGAAGGTGTCCCTGCCCATGGCAGGGGGGTTGGAACTAGATGATCTTTAAGGTCTCTTCCAACCCAAACCATTCTGTGATCTGGTTCTATGATCTGGCCACTTTTGTTCCTAATGCTAAAATATTGTCTCAACTTCCCCTCCTACTACAGTTTCTACAACTTTGTCTTTATTTTCATATTTCTCATCTTTGATACAAAAGTAGAAGTAACTAATTCTGATACCAGTGTTAACATTGACACATTAGATTTTTCCATTACACCACTTCAACAGAAAATTGCACCATATTCCAGTCACCTGAGAGGCCTGGTGATGGTACTGATGAATTTGGTGACTGCACAGTTCTGTTTGAAGGGGGTTTTGGCTGATTTTGCTCTGCAGTGCCATCCTTCCTTACAACATTATCCAGCGTGATGTTTCCTGGGCAATCAATCTAAAGGTGGGGAAGAGAGAGGAAGCAGTTAGTGTTAGGAGGGGGGAAAAAAAACCACAACAAAATCCCTCAAAAAACAACAAACACACCCCATGCTTCTGCTATACTGTTATTTTGAAGGTGAAGACGAAAATGCATTTCTCCTAACTTAAGCCACCTAAAAAGTGAAGTGGTCACTTTAAAACAGGTCATCTTGCTTTCTCTAAAAAGAAAAGAAAGGGACAAATCCAGACAGTGCTTTATTTTAAGATCAGATGATTCTGTAAGTGCCAGTTTTTCTCCATCAGCGACAGAGAAGGATTACATCAGATAAGCAGCTTTCACACATTGAAGTATGAGATGAATTTTTATCTCCACACTTTTTTTTGACATGCTCATGTTAAATCGTCTAAAAAAGATAATAAGCAAGACACAAGCTACCTATTAACTTGCTAGTATTTAACAAGCCTGGAAAAACCTCAAGAGACAGACAGTTCCATCTGTCCCACATACCTTCTGGATAGGGGCCATGCATATTGACTCAAAATGCAAACAGCAAACCAACACTTGTTTTTTTTCACCCACAGCCCAGGCCAGACAACTGAACTCTGTTTTAGGGGCTCCCAATTTACCATTCCAACTTTCTGTAAAAATTATACATTCTGGTTTGATAAAGAGGTGACCTTTTGAAACATTAGGGGTTTTGCAATACTTAAGATATTAGGATAAGAAAATATGTCACCTTGGTATCAGTTTTCTCAATTATCCAGACACCTCACAAATCCACTGGTCTCAACTGCATTGACTACTGAAACTTCTATTTATAAGCTAGACTTATCTGAAGTGGATGCAGAAGTCTCTGCTAGGTCAGCATATTTGCAGTGATTTGGGCCACGTATCTTAATAGCATAAACTTAACTATATGCAAGTAGAAGAGTTCATAATAACACTCTGTACAAGAATCAGTACTAAAATGTCTCTCAGACTTAGTAGTGTTATGATTGTGTTGCATAATTCACCTTTTAAGTCTGACAGATACTGTAACTCTCTACTCTAGGTACTCTATTTAAAAAATAGAACACTTTTATCTGAGAGTTTATTGGTGGGAACAAAAGAAAGGTGGGAGAAACAAGGAGTAACAGCAAGTTATGACTAGAAAACCATGACATTTCTGATATCTACAAACCTTAGGCCACAAAAATAGGCTTGGCAGTTGTTTGAAAGAATAAAGTCAAACTGACTAAAACTCAAGAGCTCTAACATGGACCTCTGACAAACATGTACCAAGCAGAAGAAACTATGAAAGAGAAGTTTAAAAGCTTAAGATGCTCCTTCTATTGCCTGCTCAGAGGCATGCTACATACAAGTACCAAAAGGAAAAGATATAAAGAATATATCCAGTATACCAACAATTAACACCTACCTAAGGCAGCCCTTTCAATGAGTTAAAAATATAGTTTAAAAATGTTAAAAATTTACCAGAAAAACCATCAGCAAAACAGTGTGTCCTGCTTTTGGCTGGGATAGAGTTAATTTTCTTGCTAGTAGCTTGTATGAGGCTATGTTTTGGATTTGTGCTGAGAATAATGTTGATAACACAGTGACATTTTAGTTGTTGCCAAGAAATGTTTACATTAAGCCAAGGACTTATTCAGCTTCTCATACTGTCCTCCCAGCTTCTTCTCTACAAGCTGGAACCAGCTGACCCAAACTGGCCAAAGGGGTATTCCATACCATAAAACGTCACACTCAATATATAAGCTAAGGGGTTTATCTGGGGGGATGCAATCACTGCTCAGGGAATGGCTGGCTGTTGGTCAGACAGTGGTTGCATCACTTGTTTTTCTTGGGTTTTCCTAACAATTCAGTAGTAGTAGTAGCAGCAGCAGTAGTAGTAGTAGTGGTATTTTAAATCATTAAACTGTTTTTATCTCAACCCATGAGTTTTCCTACCTTTCCCCCCTGATTCTCTCCCTCATCCCACTGAGGGGGGGTGGGGGGTGAGTGAACAGCTGTGTAGTGCTTATTGCTGGCTGGGATCAAATGATAACAGAGTGCTATCTATAGATACTGGTAAATAAAAGCTAAACTAACTCATTTTGCTAGTATAAATGTGGATATGGAAGTGGAATATGCAGCATGTAAATAAACAAGTCCAATTACAATTACAACCTGCAATGTTACTTTTCTTGGTTATCCTAACAGCTGTCTCCCAGAACAGTTCTGAATATCACCAGCAACATGTACGCAATCCTGCACTCTTGTTTTCTGTAACTGTCTCATTTTGACAAACAGAGCAAGAATTTCAGTCTAAAAGGTTTCTATTTCTCACAAACATTAAAACTTACTTCAAAACAGAATTCACAAAACATTGCTTTTACGTTACACTTACATCAGGAAGAGATGGTAGATTGTAGGAGCTACCCACTGGAGAACTCAGATCTATCACAGGGGGACCATATGTCTTCCCATCACATCCTGCAGCACTAGTGACTGTGGGGCTGGATGGAGTGGATGTTGTGCTGCTTGCAGTTGAAAGGGGAGTTGAAGTTTGTCCACTACCAATCTGCCACTGAAAAGACAAGACGATAATGCACAATTCAGCATTATTTTTTTCAGCAGATCACATCTACTGGATATACTGGTTCTAACTGTTAAACAAGCAGCTTAGTTCAGTAAGCTAAATTCAAACATAAAATCCTGTTTTACTCTGAAGTTATCTTACTCAAGAACCAATCTTACAAGACAAGTAGTTGAAAATTATGAATAGAAGAAATGAATGTGAATTCTTAAATTTAAAGCTATATCTTGATGTTAAGTATCTATTAATATTTCATGCTGCATTGACACTGTTGTGGGAGAATGTAACAGTTTTAGTGAAATAAAAGCATTACAGATAATAGGCTGAATGCACAACTGCTCCAGTGCTTTATTAAGTAAATAGCTATAGTGTCACTGGGACGCCATTAAGTATTTGATGTCGTGCTTCCCTTAACAACTTAAAGTGATTAAGAATTTGAAATGCTGACTGGATCTCCACCCACATATATGTTTAACACCACGATATGAAGTGCACAGTCAATTCAGACTAAATTTCTTTCTCATGTAGACATATGCAGTTTTCAATGACTTTAATGGAATTTCATGGCAACCGTAGGCAAAATTTGACTCTGCTCAATTCCTTTATAGTCAGTCATTCCATTTACTGGTTTCTAGCTTCAGAAAGACACTACTAGATAATGAAAATACTTGAAAGAAAGGCTTGCAGACAGGCCAATCTTCTTTTCAGAGGCACAGAATAGAAGTGACTTAGTTTTTTACTACAGGTTCTCTTCTTCATCTTCTCAGATGAGATTCATTTGATTCTTCCCTGCTTACCTCTAGTGACATGATTTTCTCTTTCCTTCCACATACCTAACAACTCATGTGTTAACAGGCTTTTTAATAAAGATTTGCCTTCCTGAATATCCAGAAAACATCTGAAGTGTTTGCTTCTGTACCAGTTCAACTGCTGATTACCTGAGTATTGATCAGTCTTACTCAGCGGAGGTCCCACAACTGTGGACTTCCTTTTCTCTCCTCATCTGTAGAAGTTCAGATTTGGCATACTCTGGAGAATGGTGGCAGCTATAGCTTTTTAGTCAAGCTTTTCCCTGGTTCCTAGTGAAGTCACTAACATCAAGCTAAACAGTGGGATTTTCTATTTTGTCTGTTCACTGACTGTAGTGTGCAGATCATGGCCATGTCAAGTTTTGCATAAGTGGCCAGAGATCACAGTAATAGCAAACAAGAGGATGAAACACACATAGCACACACAGTGACTTGCTTCTGTAACACTTCAGCTGCTTAGAACTGTCAAAATGAAAGAAACTTGACAGTTATCTCATTAAGAAAACTTTGGGTATCTTGTCATAGAGAAAAATGCAGTCTCTGTTATAATTTAAAAGTACTCTAGAAACACAATATAAAAGTAAGATTATATAAAGCACATTTGTTTTCTTTCTACATGGTGAGTGAAAAGGGAAAGAAACTCTACCTGTTTTATAGCTTGCTGTGCCAAGAATGCCATTTGCAATGGGTTGGGCTTTATTGCTTGTCTTGGTAGGTTCTGATTTTGGGGAAATCTCATCTGTTGTGCAGGAAGAGCTGAACCATTGGACTTGGGGCTATGATTCTGAAAATGAATCAAGCGCGGAGGTGCCTGCATGAAAACAAACAAAAAATTCTGTAAGTTAGCTGGTATCTATCCAATGTTCCAGAAATTTTTACTGAGTGGGCCTTTTAAACTTCTGAAACTCTTAAGAAATTAGATGCAAACAAATAGTACCATACCATTTATCTGAATGATCACACAACACATTAATTGTCAATGTTAAAAACAAAACCTAGTAGATGGATTTGGATTATTCCAATATAATAAATGCAGATACTCTCACAAGAGCCAGTAAGAGTATTTCCAACATTGAAAGTTATATAGGAGAATCTCAGTTTTATGCAAAAAAGCCTTGGAAATACATTAATGATAAGATGCAGTTTTTAATAATTTGACAAAAATACAAAATACATAGCTCAGCACTATATATGGCTGGATACCATATGATTTGGGTTTTTTGTTATAAAAATAGGCTGAATGCTACCATGTATTCTGCCAGACAAGATTAAAATGCCCATTCAATTCTCAGTAATGTTCCCTAAATATGCTACAGATGAAGCTATCTGAAGTTATGTATCTAGACATAATTTCCTTCTTTTTCCTATCTTTCTTTACTTTCTCTTTCAGTGCTATGGAAAAAAGGAGAATCTTCTCTGGATATAGTCATAACTTACCTGATGAGAAGCAGGAGGTTGTTGCATGGCTCCTGGCATTCTTGGATTTGGTAAACCTACTGGACCTGCTCTGCGTTGAGCTTGCTGTCTCTGAGCCATGACCTGTTGCTGCATATGCTGGAGTCGGAGCTGAGCTAAGCTTATCTGCGTTGGGAACTTGGACAGCTGGTTTGAAGGTAAGCTACCTGGTGGCTGTAAGTTTGTTTCCATGACAGGGCTCTTGGGCATATGTGGTGGGGTTTCTTTATCTTCAATTACCAAAGAACCTGGTTTAAACAAAATAAATAAAAATAATACCACAATTTTGCAGCTAGCAGAAATGCTATTTTTCACAATTAGTTCCTTTTATACCATCAGGTCATCATTCATTATTGTAATGTAAAGAAGGGATAAACACGAGATAGAGGACTCCGTCCATTTTGTCTATTTTCATGCAATAAAATGTTCACATTTAATAATGCAGAAAAGGAAAAACTAGCAAGCTGTCTTGTGCTGCAGCCTCCTCTACATGGTGAATTCTCCTCAGAAGGTGTCCTGGCCTTTCCAGAAGAGCAAGGGAGCAAAGTTTCAATGGGAAAGAGCATCCTGATCCAATCGTCTGATAAAAAGATTTTAACTGTATCATAACACTTAAAGATAATGTGATCCTTTCTGGCCTCTGAGTCAAAATAATGGAATACTCAAATGATACTCTCAGTTGCTACACACCACCAATTCTAGGATGTGATGGGCACCTCCAGGAGATGTTTTATCTCTGTCCACTGACTTAGAAGGAAATTTGACGAGACAGGTAACATTTAGACACTTATGCTGGGTGAGAGATTTTATATGAAGAGGCATATAGTGTGATTACATAAAACTCTCATGTAAAATTCTGGATATCTGATCCAAGAAAGATTAATTCCATCTAGAATGGAGTTTTACTTGATTCAAGGGAATAGCACACTGTTTGTACAGGAAAAAGACAAAGACACTTTGTTTAAAACAGAGTGAAGTAGGCAAAGTTATGGTCCAAGACCAAGAGCTACAAAAATGCCAATGGTCTGTGGAAGGTTGCACAACAGCTTTTCAATACGAGTGCGGGATAGACACCTCATACTCCCTTCCCTCCCAGCAATTTAGGGCTGTGTCCCAGAAGAGTTCACCTCATGAGGTAGGTATACTACATAGCAGTTTGACAATCCCTGTTACAACATAACTTGAAATCACCCTCTGCCACTTCTCTCTTCATATCCATCTGTCTCTATGGATCTTGTGCTGTCTAACCTGGCTCATCTTGGAGTAAATTACCTGAAGGAGGAGGAAACTTCTTGTATTTTATATTCCTCTTTTTCATCCCAATAGCTGAGAAGCTATGCAAGTAGCATCATTCTAGTCCTCTATCTAGACATAGACACAGAGGGAGTCTAGGCCAGCCAAAATATGTAGTGCAGAGCAGGGCAGAAAGCTAACATGAACAATACTATTTTCATATTGACACTTGGTAATTTTGGTGTTGCACACATTTTAATTACGATTCCACCACATCAGTCATTAACAGAAATAGTAAATATGCTAAATACAATGGAAAAACCCTACCCATCTATTGCCTAATACCCTTTATTAGGCCTATAACAGGTCTAGTCAATGTTTCCCATAAAGTGAGCAGAGAAAAATACAGATGGATAATACTGTTTCCCATATACAGCTGTATGAAATATTTCACTACAATCAAAATAGGTGTGTTTCATTTTCTTTCTCTAGAAAAGGAATTACCTTGACAAAAACAGTATTGACTGTACTACAATAAGCTGTCAGACCCATACCACATTCTTATTCTGTTCTCTCCAAGTCTAACTGCATCTCTAAAAGTCTTTCCAGACTTAACACCTGTGGTATAAAGCTACTTACCCAAAGGTACTCCGGAGAATGATTCCCTTCCATTATTCTAGAAAAGCATGGGTTATCATACAATTTGTGGAATCAAAACACTGTAAATGCTGTATTTTTTTTTCTTAAATACATTCTGAAATTCATAAGAGAGCTATGCTATTAGTGTGCAGATGCTATCACACTGTCAGCAACATGCAGCCTGATGAGAATTCAAGCCATTCCCAGAGTAACATGTTTCTTTATTTAGACTTTGATTTTTCCTTCAGTGGTTCTTAAATCTGGTTTATCTAAAGAAATTTAACATGTCTCAGCATAAACGTAACAGCCTAAAGGTTGTGATTTCTGAAACCAGATAGATAAACATGATCCAGTTTTATCTATCACTTAAATAGATAAACTGTTACAAGAACTCCTGTGCTGATCTATACAGGTGCCATCTCTGTCGTAGCACTTTTCAGAATTTAAGGGAACACATTTCAGCAGATCAGTGGCTCATTAAATAAACAAATAACAAAAAAGAGCCACAAAAGCAAGCACAAGAAAAAGCCCTCTCTTAGCAAGCATCATCTCAGTTTAGCAGCAGTTCACAGTTAGCATCACAAAGCTTGAAAGTTTGTTTCTGGAAACAAGAGATTCACTTTTGACTCCTTTCCCACAGAAAATTATTTACAAAGAAGGAGCTTGAGGAATTTCCCTGCTACCATCCAGTGTACTGGTGTGTGGGGAAAGGAGCTTGTTCACCTTAAAGCACTGCCATAACACTTTCTTTCTCTGCCTTTGTAGAGAAACATACATTTGCACCTCTCTGTACATTTGAAGAGCTGACTGCACTTTCTCACGACAAGCAGAAAAGGTCTCACAAGTTTCTTGCACAGCATTCTGCACGACTGAAAAACAAAAAAATGCCCATCAAGCCAACAGTGGAGAGAGAAAGGAAGTATGACAGCAGTCAAAATCCTAAAAAGACCTCTAAACTTTAATTCCTGCTCCTAAGATGATGAGTTCCTAGGATGCTTATCTCCATTAAACTCAGGCTTTCAGGCAATCACACAAGAAGGCTACCTGCAAAGCTTCCAGGTTCTGGGATTCACCAGTATCATAAAACCCCAGCAATTTATAGCTGTAAGAAAAAATTTAAAGACCAGTTTGGAGACTAGATCAAAATCCGTTAGGATAATGAAGATGAAGTACATTTGCAACTCTGTTAGAAATGCACTTTCTCCTGAATTCTACCCCACAACTTCAAGAAAAAACAATCTAAAAGCAAAACAACAGCCAAAAAGTAGTGTTCCCTTCCCTGTTGTTCTTTCTCCCTTTCTCTTCATCTCAATTCTCAAAGCTTATTGTTCAGCATGGCAAGGGAGCAATATATTACGCTGCTGCTGTGGGTTTCAGCTTGGGAAGATGGGACTGAAGTAGAAGAAAGCGCTGGAAGATGCAGAATGAGACTGCCTTCTGGAATCCTTTCTTAGGATGTGAAGCAGGGTTATAGATTGCATTGCTTGCTTCAGAAGCCAGAAGGCATGTATATTGCCCAGGAAACTGAAATCTCCTATTTTCACCATCACACATACCATTCAAGCAAGGTAAGTTTATTAATACTTTATCATAAGTATTTCTAAATAATACTTTTCCCCATACAACACACTTTAGAAGTCTTCTACACATAAGGAGATATATCTAACAAAGTAAACCAAGAAATTAATAGTGCAGAGGCTATTTATCATCACAAAAAGAAAGCTGCTTTCAAAATAGGATCAAGACACCAAAGGGCTAATAAAACTTTATCATACCTAGATTGAAAATATTTTGAGCCCAGAAGCTAGGATCACAGTGAAACTGGATGGTATTGTTAGTCACTGGTGAAGCATCACACCTTGCTCGGAGAAGATACCGTAGTCGATACGTAATCTAGAACAGGAACAAAGACTTTTTTTTCTCTGGGGCCAGAGCCATGTATATGAACAGCATAAAAAGTATTAAAAAACAAACAAAAAAAACCAACCAACAAACCAAAAAAACCCCCACAAACCAACAACAAAAAAGCCCTGAACAAGCCCACAGAAAATCAAGGTGAAAGATAAATTTGTCCAAGCTACAAATAAAAGAGGTATTCTTAACGTTTTCCTTATTTCTAAAGTAGTTTTAAAAACCAATCAACTACAGCCTAAAAAAATTAATTCTTCTCCCCTACAGAAATGTGTATCCTTCCACAAACTTGGTCATTACATTCAATGACTTCAAAGTGAATTACTTGCAAGTGAATTACAGATTCACATAAGCATTGTTGGGTGTTTTCCACCCAAACCTACGCTAGCCCATTCATTTTTCTTTCAAAGAAAAGTATCCCATCCTTTCAGCAACAAGTATTATCACAGGAAATTTTACTTTGTAATAAAAATTTACGTTTTCTTCACACAGCCAAAGAACAGATTTTACAAACTTTGTCTTTGAAACCTCTAAGATTCACAGATATTTTCAGACTCTTCCAACTCCTTGATTCCATAGGACTGGACTATAATTACGTTACACAAGCAGATATTAAGCACTCAGTATTTAGCTAGTTCCTAGAAAGAAAAATATTTTCTTGCAGTTGTTTTACTAGAAATACATAACACAGGTACTAATTTTAGAATAACACAGAGCACATACAGAAAAAAACTTCAGATTTCAACACTTAATTTTTCTTGAATAATAGATTATTTCCAGGAAAAGTTCCAAGAGACATACTTGGCAAAATCGTCCTACTTGTTTCAAATTATACTAGTTATATTTTACAAAGGAAATTTTTAAGAGCTTCCAGTCTATAAGTTTTTTCTTCCAATTTTAGGCAAGTCAGTTTTAGACCAGATACAAAAAACTTTTATCAAGGCTTAAGTTTTTTTTAATGGCCATGGAAAATTTTAAGTGCACTACTATATTGAACATAGATTTCCTAGGATTTCTGTGTACTCTACCAGAATCAAGTATACTACACTACAGAAATTCATAGAACCAAATCATAGAACGGTTAGGGTTGGAAAGGACCTTAAAAATCGAGTTCCAACCCCCCTGCCATGGGCAGGGACACCTTCCACTAGACCAGGTTGCTCAAAGCCTCATCCAGCCTGGCCTTGAACACCTCCAGGGATGGGGCATCCACAGCTTCTCTGGGTAACCTGTTCCAGTGTCTCACCACCCTAACAGCAAAATATTTCTTCCTAATATCTAGTCTAAATCTGCCCTCTTCCAGTTTAAATCCATTACTCCTTGTCCTATCACTACACTCCCTGATAAAGAGTGTTTCCCCATCTCTCCTGCAGGTCCCCTTCAGGTACTGGAAGGCTGCTACAAGGTCTCCCTGGAATATTCTCCAGGTTGAACAATGCCATCTCTCTCAGCCTGTCCTCATACGGGAGGTGCTTCAGCCCTGATCATCTTTGTAGCCCTCCCCTGGACTCGATCCCACAGGTCCATGTCCTTCCTGTGCCGAGGACTCCAGAGCTGGATGCAGTACTCCAGGTGGGGTCTCACGAGAGCAGAGTAGAGGGGGAAGAATCAGCTCCTTCAACCTGGTGCTAACGCTTCTCTTGATGCAGCCCAGGACACAGTCGGCTTTCTGGGCTGCAAGCACACCCTGCCTGCTCATGTTCAGCTTCTCATCAACCAACACCCCCAAGTCCTTCTCTTCAGGGCTGCTCTCTATCCATTCTTAACCCAGCCCGTATTTGTGCTTAGGATTGCCCTGACCCACATGCAGGACCCTAAACTTGGCCTTGTTGAACTTCATGAGGTTTGCACAGGTCCATCTCTCAAGGCAGTCGAGGTGCCTCTGGATGGCATCCCTTCCCTCCAGTGTGTTGACCACACCACACAGCTTGGTGTCGCTGGCAAACTTGCTGAGGGTGCACTCAATCCCCCTGTCCATGTCACCACCAAAGATGTTAAACAACACCGGTCCCAATTATCAACCCCTGTGGAACGCCACTTGTCACCAATCTCCACTTGCACATTGAGCTGTTGACCACAACTTTTTGAGTGCAACCATCCAGCTAATTCCTCATCCACTGAGTGGTCCTTCTGTCAAATCCTTATCTCTCCAGTTTAAAGACAAGGATATCATGCAGGATTGTCTTTTTTCGTAGTCTTTTGCCCTGTCACTAATACTGGTTGTATACAGTTCTTGTCATAGTTTGCTCCATATATTCCTCCTATTCGGCACGCTCATATATTGTAGATAAATTTGTTACTAGACCAGATACCTCCTGATAGTAACAGCAGTAGCTACCAGTGTTTTGTTCGTGCTAGAGGACTAGTCTGGGAAACTGGTGTCTTCTTGCAAACTGTTTAGTATGCTATTTCCCTGAAGCACAGACATTGTCTCCTAGCTGTAACTCTGCATTAAAGTCTGGTGGGCATTCCTTCCTCCTAGTTTCAAGTGGTTGGATATGCTGGAGCAGAAGTCTCACAACGCTTCTCCATGCATCATCGTTCAGGAACAGATTTTCCAGATGTCCAAAGACAGGTTAGCTATTGTCCTGGTTTCAGCTAGGACAGAGTTAACTTTCTTCGCAGCAGCTGGTGTGAGGCTATGTTTTGGATTCGTGCTGAGGAGAAGGCTGACAACATACTGATGCATTGCTGCCAGGACAGTCGAGCACTTGTCAATCTCTCTGCTGTGCCAGTGTCTGCAGGGGCAGGAGAAGCTGTGAGGGAGCACAGCCCCAATTACTAGCCTGGGATTTGACCTTAGGTTTAGGACTGAGACCCAATGTGGCCAAGGGTATATTCCATATCATGCACATCGTGCCCAGTATATAGATGAGGATCAGTCCAGAAGTACCCCCGCTCTCAGGTTCGCCTCGCTCTCTCAGTCAGCTGTCAGTTCCTCGGACACTCGGGCTCTTATTTGCTTTCTGAGATTGCAGTTTCCGGACTCTCCCTGCTCCAAGATCATGAGCTGGGAATGGGCTGAGCCTTGGTCACTGGGTGATGAGCAGTTTCACTGTGTATCACTCATTTGTATATTTGTATATATTACCATTATCGTTATTTTCAGTTTTGTTGCAATTTAATTATTAAACTGTTCTTATCTTAACCCACGAATCTCTTTTCCCTTTACTTCTCTCCCCCATCACCAGGAGCAGGGAGAGTGAGCGAGTGGCTGTGTGGTGTTCGCCAGTAGCTGCATTCCAAACCATAACAGTTACTCCACTCCCAAATAACACCAACTTTCAGCAAAAATTAAGAGCCTAAAACTCATCTGTACTTTTGAAAAATATTTCTCATTTGCTGAGTGAGGCTTTATGGGCTAGATGGTCTTTTTCTTCACCCACATAGTGTTTATAAGATTAAGACACCTGCAACATAACTTGTTTTCTTACTCATATAGCAGAAGTCTTGGTGGCAACCCTAACCAATTATAAACAACATGACTCAGTTTGATGCCCTTTTTCTCTTTTCAGTTAAAAAATATTACTTGCTGAGGCAATATAAGGCACGCCAAATAAACTTAACTATTTGAAGTAAGTTGATAAAAAACAGTAATATTCTACTATCTGCTATAGCCTGCGGCATTTTAATGGGTATAAAACCCCCACCACCAAACAACAACAAACCCAAAACCAAAGAAAGAAAAAATCACAAGACCCCCAGCAGGTTCTCAACCAAGCAATGAGAAAATAAAGAAAAACCTTTGTGCTCCAGTTATAGGAACCGGAAAAAAAGGATTTAGCATCTTTGCTCAATTTTGTCACAGATTTCTGTCAGTAGGCTAGTACAATCCAGTAACCTCTGGACAAATCATGGTCAGCTTTTTTTTTGTTTTTTACTTCAAGCTTTTTAGAATTTCTGTTCATCATGAGCAGTCAGCTTAGTGAGAGCACATGCACTCAGATCTTAAGTGTCATTACAGCACTGAAATATTTAGCTTCATAACTGTTTGCATGGCAAGCAAAAGCCTCAGCTTCATTTTTATCAATTTTTGAAGACTTTTAATGGAAGATAAGTCTGACAGAACAAAGCAATACATATTTTTTACATTAAAATGCTGGATATCAGACACTATGATATATAAATACCATCTTTCTCTGAACTCAGAAGCTGTTAACAACTACTGAAAAAATCTCAGTGATGATGTAGGACATGTAACAATTCTCCCAGCATTCCACGCCTTCATTGTTTTCACTCCACAGAAAAGGAGCTGTTCCTAGTTCTCCAGATCTACAATATTTCTATGCTAGTGTAACAGGAGAGAACCATGACCAGAAAGCTAAATTATTAGAAACATTCTCTATTTATGTTTAAGAGATAACCATGAAAAAATATATACAAATGTTCCAACTAGTAGAAAGTAATTAAAAAGTCTAATTCCCTAGTATCACTGACAAGTGTGTGCATGCACCTATGTGCCCCCATATTGTCTCTAAGTAAATAGAGAGAGCTATCTTCCTCAACTTTACCAAGCGTTTGCTGTACAGTAGTGCTGTGCTGCTCCCACTGGAAACTGCCCATTTGGAAAAATTCATGACGTGTTCCAGCTGCTTAGAGAGACCTGCCACTTCCTGTTGTTGATGCAGAAGTTTCATCCGATGCTCTTTTGCCAGAGTCTGCAAGTAGAAAAGCAGTTCCAGTCAAAGGGTTCAATTTACAGTTAACAGGCATTAGCTTTCGTATTTGTAATTCCCAATGATCAAGAGGTTTCACTTCTTCTGAAAAGCATCCCTGCCCCCTGACTGCAGCTATCAAACAGACAACCCAGTACACATTTATTCAAGATATCAGGACTTTCTGTGAAGATTCACATTTTCTCTTATGACACATTTTCATGTAAATATGTGACTCTCTCTATACACACACACATACTTTTAAAAACATAATTGGGGTAATATTTTTTCAGGTATCCCTTCCAGACAATTCTGTCCGTTGATTTGCTATTGGATTGCTGAATTTATGAAAAATTCTGATGGAAACACTTTTCATGCATGACGCATAGAATTATGACTTGCAAAAGCATGGAGAATGAAACAGGGCTCAGAGACAGCCCTGATTCACAAAGCAGGGAACACAGATAATAATTACAGATAAAACAACAACAGCCCCCGAAAACCCAAGCCCTCCTTCCCTCCCCCAGCAAAAACCCACTTGCTCGGATGGCTTGAGTGGGCAAATCTCTCCACTTTGGATTTGTGAAAGGACATGCACAGGTGGCTAATGCTAGAAATTGATTTTATTTTAATGTGAATCAACACAAAAAATATTAAGACTGACATTTTTGATTTTTATGATAGAAATTAAATTACCTCCAACTGATGCAGCAGAGCTTTTCCCTTTTTATTTATTTCTACCATCAATGTAAATATGGCAACTTTAATATCCTGTTCCACCTGCTTTTGATTCTGATTCACTTCAAGAATTCTGTAAGTAGACAATATACAAAATAACAGGTTTTAGCTCACAAACCCACCCTCCAAATAGTATAAGCCTCCCCCCCCCCGCCTACTCCATTGCTGAGACTATAGTCTGTCTTGGTCATACGCACCAATTAATACATACACCATTGGATACTTATAGTCAGGAAAATTACTGGGAGAACTAGAAAGAGCAAGTACCAGTGACCTACAATAAAATTAATTAACTGGTGGCAAATTCTAATGCCATACGTCTGTAAAATCACTGACATCTGGCACTGGTAAAAATTAAGTGCTCGTTGTAATTTAAATTCTTGATTTTTCATTGTCTGGCACATTTCTGGAATGGTCCATGGCAATCAAAACTGTTTAAGTCTAATCTAAGTCTAACTGCCATCGAAGGTAGAATGGCACTCCAGAAACAAAAACAATAAATAGATTTTCTAATTTACCTATTTAAAAAATAGAGATCAAACATGTAAGAGCAAAGCATAATCTTATCTTGTGAAAACCACTACCACTAAGATGGAAGGGAGAATAACTACTTGGGTACAACAAAAGAAGAGAAGGGTGTCTGCTGTTTTTTTCCATCTCTGTCATCCTCAAAGACAGGCAAAGAGAGAGGAAGAGTTCAAGCTGCATTCAGCATCTCATACTGTGTTGAATCTTCCTGGGCACTGCCTTGGAACTCTGCTGAAGGAGCAGTTACAAAGACCTACTGCAGCACACATTTTACAGATTTATTTTTCTCCTAGGTTTGCAGTGCCGAGCGAATAAAGCCCCAAGCATAAAAGTATTACATAAATCTTCAAATATGTGTCACAAGCATTATGAAAATATGAATCATAACCTTTCACTTTCTAAGAGGGATCTACACTAAGAAAATAAGTGTGCTGACTGTGGGGAAGAATATAAGACTGCCTTCTAGAGTCTTTATTGCACAACTTGTTTTGTTGCACCCAAGCTATTGCTCCCATTAGGTTGACAGGCTGAACAGAAGAGTTACCTAACACAAGCACATTAAACAGGCAACAGTCACTACAGCAAACTGAGATTTTAGATTTTCTCTTTCTGGAAAGATAAAAGGAGAGAGGTACAAAATGCACTAATCTAAACATTTCAAGAAATTACAGTGTATATAAAGTTGCCCTCTGTGCCAGTTTTAACCTCAAAATCTGATACATACCTGTTTTGGATCTGCTTCCCTGTATATTTTATGTACTTAGTTTTCTCCATCAATTTGGTGATTAGTGTCTCAATGATCACTTTCTGGTTCTGAAAAGCTTCTTCTATAAACTGGTACCTGTAGTAAGTAACAGTGAGTATTTACATATACAAAAGGTGTGATATATAAAAAGCTGAGTACCATACAAAAGACTTCTTGAATTGAAGAAAGACGCTGCTCAAGTCCAAGGTTTAATTGTCATCATGGAAGCATATGTCAGCAAACGCTTATATATTTTTAATAGTATATTTGAATTTATAGTATATTTCCTATAAGTTTTATTTTATGTATTGAGACTTCATTATTTTCATAAAGGGATATTGTGTGACCATAGCCCAATTTTAGCAAAATAAAAATGAATGTTGTGCTGTAGTCATCATTTTGTCAGTGAAAGTGCATATAAGCTATTATTTCATGCAAGATAAGGATGTAGAAACAGAAGAAAGAAGAGAGATCGCTGAGTCAGTAGAAGTCAGCAACATTTTAAATCAAGGAACCGAAATCATCAACAATCTGAGGAAAAAAAGAGGTGGCACATTCTGAAAGGGACATAAATCCTAAGAAAAGGAGAACTGAAGAGGACTGCAACTCTGCAAGAGCAAAGTTTAGCCCCTTCCAAGGAGCAACAGTGGCCAACATTTCTCCACCTATTGGTGTTCACCTGGTCAGGCAAGCAAGTTCTTTGGGTGGTTGCATCAGGTGTAGCGAGCATATTAATATTTAACTTAAGAGTACATCTGTCCCACACAATTACTTTATGCATCAGCCAGAAAGATTATTGTCTCGTACAGTCCTGCTTTTCAGCTTCTGTTGCTAGTAAGAGATGACCAGAGAACAGCATCCCAAAGATCTGAGTGTTATGAATAATGTTCTCAAAGTACAGTATAGACAAATTTTAGGTTTAGTCTTCCCTTTAAAGGGCTCCTCACAGAAAAAAAAATGCCCATTTGCTCTGTTCTGAAATTGTTTGGTAACATTCTGTTATATAATCATGTTGTTGAAGGACAAATGGTGAAATTACACATAAGCGTACAGTTGCATAACACAGCCCCTGTGCTTTCTAAGGACTCTCTGAAGAGTTGCATACCAACAAATTCTATCCAAATAACTTGGCAGTAAAGAAAGGTCTTGTGCTTAAGTCACCAGATTAAAGGCTAGAAGAATTAGGTTTTATTCTAAACTATCACACACTCATCAGTCACTTGCTTTTGGGTACAACCTCTGTTTATCTGTGGGCTTCATTTCTGAGCAAAAAATGTTATTTCACGCCTTTTTCACCTGACTATTCCATACAGCTAGAGCTACAATCAACTTCAAGCTACCTTCCTGTCAGTGAGTTGCATAAAACATATACTTAGTTTCAATACCTGTGTTCTTTATGTTCTAGTAACTGACAATCTCGGCAGGTCAACTTGTCACAGGTTTCACAATACAACTTCAACTGCTCCTTTTTGTGGTAAGGGCAAAACACAGGTCGCTGACTGGTCACACCAACTGCCTCTGTTGAATAAAAGAAGATGTCAGTCCAGACTCCTGAAATTATTAAAGATTTGCATTCTCCTGTTTTTCCTTACCGTATTCCTCACCTAGATGCTGGAAGGGTATATGAGGCCACCTAATCAAGAATATAACAGCTGTAAGCTTAAACTCCAATGTCTCACTCTTGATCAAGCATGGAGCTAACACCCTCTCTCATCGAAAATGTCTAGAAGCTATTCTACTACAACTTATTATGGCCCCACAAAACTATTTACAAAAGGAGTAGCCAGTATTGTTGCAGTTGCGAAAGACATGGCACAACCAGCAAGTTGCTTTCTTAAATGGAAATGAGGAGATTGCTGACTTAATTTGTCGCTCTGTCTTCTTTCTCAGACAAATGCACGAAAGGGGGTTTGAGGATATCAAGACACAGGCATTCAAAAGTATAAAACATACTAACATCCCATCCCTACCCCATTCTAAATGGCTCAGAGGTCTCACTTCTGTTTCAAGTGAGCAAACACCAAAGAGCATAGGAAACACCACCAGATGATAGAAATGAAATCTGTTCTTTAAACAATGTAACTGACAAAGCCTGATCTCTTATGAGCTAGGTTGGACATAGTTCATAACATACTTGCCTTTAATTTCTAAGGCAAAACATTTCAAACTTAAAATATATTTAGCTAAAAGGTGAATTCTGGCATGCTCTATTGTCAGAGTGATGAAAAAATACTATCTATTTGGTGCTCCTTTTGCTGCAGTATACAACGATAAAGTTCATTGTCCTGGTTTCGGCTGGGATAGAGTTAATTTCTCCTAAGCAGCTAGAATAGCACTGTGTTTTGGATACAGTAAGGGATTTGGTATGAGAAGACTGTTGATAATATAGCGATGTTTTCAGTATGTTGCTAAGAAATCCAGGACTTTTCAACTTCCCATACTTTGCTAGTGTGCAGGTGCACAAGAAGCCAAGAGGGAGCCCAGCCAGAGCAATGGACCCAAATTGGACAATGGGATACTCCATATCATACAACATCATGCCCAGTACATAGATGGGGGTTGGCTGGGAAGTGGGCTCGCTCTCTTCCTGGATGGCGGTTTCAGGATTTTCTGTCTTCTGGGGTCATTAGCTAGGAACAGACAGGGCCTCAGTCAGCAGGTGGTGAGCAATTGCGCTGTGAATCACTCATTTGTATAGTCTATTGTTATTGTTGTTATTATTATTGCTCCGAGGAGACCTAATAGCAGCCTACCAGTACCTAAAGGGGGCCTTAAAGGAGAAATGGGGAAACTCTTTATCAGGGAGTGTAGTGACTGGACAAGGGGTAATGGTTGTAAACTGAAAGAGGGTAGATTTAGATTAGATATTAGGAATAAATTTTTCACTGTGAGGGTGGTGAGGCACTGGAACAGGTTGCCCAGGGAAGCTGTGGATGCCCCATCCCTGGAGGTGTTCAAGGCCAGGCTGGATGAGGCTCTGAGCAACCTGGACTAGTGGAAGGTGTACCTGCCCATGGCAGGGGGCTTGGAACTCGATTTTTAAGGTCCTTTCCAACCCTAAACTTCCTATGATTCTATGATTATCATCATAATCATCACCATTATTATTTCTAAATTTATTTTATTTCAACTATTAAATTGTTCTTATCTCAACCCATGGGTTTCCTTACCTTTACCCCTCCAGTTCCCAGGGGCTGGGAGAGGGTGAGCAAGGGTCTATGTGGTGTTTACCGCCAGTTGGGTTTAAACCACAACATTCACATAAACCATTTGGTAGACCTCTAGAAAAACTAGAGGGGTCAAATGTATAAAGAAGGATTTTCTGCAGCTGATCTCTAAAGTCTAAACAATAACTTGCGATCATTCCAGGTGAAAGATAAAATCCATGTGTATTTATTAGTTTAAAACACTTCGCATACAAATCATACAAAATACCAATCTGTAGGCTTTCCTACCAGTATGCAGCATATCTGATAGAAAAACAGCTATCATACCCCCAGCCATGACAGAATATTCCTTTTCAGTAGTTACATTCTAATGCATCTAATGATTAAAATTTTTTTTTTCTTTTATTAGCTGGATCATTTAAGAGATCCACTTAGATTGAGAGCAGCCAAAGAAACACCAGAATTGATTCAAATGGTTGCACCTTCAGCAATGAAATTAAAAAAAAAGTGACTGGGAGGCAGCAAACTATTAAAACATATCCATTACCAACCAGAAAAATATGGTTCTGATATGCACCAAAGGGTTATATCATAATGACTCTGTCCTTTTATATTTACTAGGATTAAGGAACACAATTTTTTACCTTTATCACTTTAAAAAGAAATATGGTGGTCTAATACAGTTTTCCAATGCAGACATTCTTTGTGAAATCATAAATCAAGTGTGTTACCTGGAGAAACTTCCTCTTTTTGTCTTACTGTATGATCCTTCGTGAATTTAACCCTCTGGTGAGCTCTGATGCAGGTCTTGCACAACCACTCTACACATTCCACACAAAACCCATTAGCTTCTGCATTGTCTTCACAGCTTGTGCAGACCTGATGTGAACAAGAAAACGTAGCTGTCAAAATAAATATAGAATATACATACAAGCTATTGTTGATATACAATCAGTGCACTTTTACAGTTTTCCAAAAACCATGAAATGAGAACGGAAAATGGCCTGAGGTACAGGGACACTATAAATAACTGCATAAAAGTAACTGAATGTGACTTTTCAAAGAAAGTGGTCATTTTGTCAGTGTTACTCCAAAACCTTAACCAGACATGATAAAAGTCAAACCATTATCTTCTGGCTGACACTGCACACTTAGAAGCCATATAATATTTACTATATACAATATGCTGCTGTGAAATATTTACTAAAGACAGAACATGATCAGCTCTGCTCTGATTTTAGAAGCCTCCCTCAGTTCACACAGGAGCTTTAAGTTTAGTTTCTGTTCACCTGCTTAGAGTTTCAGGAAGTGCACACAGTATTGAACATCAGGGTTCTTATCAAGAAGCTCTGCATCACCACTTAAAGATAGTGATAGCATTCCAGTTAACCTTATTCAGTAAAGCTACCCTAGAATAGATGCATTGCAACCAATGCATAATAATTTTCAAGCTGTGGCCTGTTAATTCCTGGGCCTCTTTGGACTATACCCAAGAGATCTAGAAAAAAAAAAAATTAAGGAAAACAATCCTGACAAGTTAAAGAGGAAGCAAATATTTATATCCTATGTAGATAGATAATATATATGGAGAACTATGTCCCAGTTTCCCCTTCAAGAAAAAGAGGAAAATTAGCACAAAACTTGCCTTACGCCACAAAGCAAGTTACTGACATAACTGATATTTGAACATAGGAGTTCCAGATTCACAATTCTTCTGCATCGTGTTGCCTCTCAAAGCAAATATCTTCTGAGAAATGAAGTTACAACCCAAGGGTTGTTGACCCCTCTTTGTTATCACTTGGAGTTTGAAGCAGTTCCTCTTGTAGTCACTAAAGTCTGTTACTAATAAAATTTGAAGATTATGTAGGATGTTTTAGTTAATTTAAGGTAATCTGGTTGTCAAGGAGACTGCAGGAAGAACTGAAACAAGAAGGGGTCTCCTGAAGAGCAGAATGTGTTTTCCAGCAATGAAGATGTTAAACTTGTAACCCGGGGACTATGTGGACAGTGAGATAGTGCTGGATCAGTCTCTCTCAAGAGTGATTTACCCCTCATCAGGAATTGGGGAACTACTGTCCTTGAAGTGTAAAACATCCTGGAGCATGGGAGGTTTGTTATTACAAGTTCTGAATTGATTAAACTATTGATTAAAGTGTTCTTAGGATGAACTACCTCATTATAATGTGAAAACCACAGACCCTCCCTGAACTAAGACCCTCACTCACCAGCATCGGCAATTCAAGAAACACCCTGTCTTTAAATCCAAGGGGGAAAAGAGCTAACCAACCACAGTTAAGAAGAGATAAGAACTAATCAGTTCTAGTTAGAGGGATACAGCAAAGAAGACAGAACTAACATTTTGAACTGTATAAATGCACAATGTGACTGTAACCAGGCTGTGCTAATTTTGTGGATTAACACCTAGCATCCATCTCTGCACAGAAATGCAATAAAACGATATCTCAACTCTGTGTGCAGATTGACTTGTGATGGACTTCAATTTTGGGACAACACTTTTCACTGAAAGAGACCTGCAAAGGAGAAAAAAATTGGCTTGTGCCTCTTTTTCTGTTTCTCTACAAAAAGGAGGCCTGAAAGTTTTATTTTTAAAGATCTTCTTAATTTTTTTTTTCTCTTCTGCTTGATTTTTATTTTTCTTCCCCTTCTTCTCTTAACAATAAAAATTCTAGTCATATCCAGACTAGTTGACTGGGGAGAAATACCAAAGTCAAGACATCATAAACATAGTGAAGAAAATGGAAGTAAAGCAGTTAAAGGAAGTTAATTGTAATCAGGAAATTGAAGATTTTTACTGCTCTTAACCCTTAATTTCAATGCCATTTTGCAAAAAAAAGAAGTATTCTTAAGGACTCAGCATAGCTTCTTGAAAAAAAAATGTAGAACAAGCAAGTATCACTGAGGTATTACTTCATCATTACATTTTTCTCTAGCAGGGAATCCCATGACAGTAATTCCCTCCCTTCTCCTTTGCCTCCTCAGGTGTGCCAATGCAACCCTTCGCAAGAGTGTGGTGTAAAACCGGATTGATTACATCATTGTAGCCCAAGGGTCAGTTACATCAGCACTGCTGACTGGGCAGTGAACTGCAGGAGAAGAAAGTTTTAAAATCAGTCTTGTTGCCAGAGAGGTATCATTGTCCTCCCAGATACCCAGAGGTGTTTTTGCAAATTAGAGTAGAGAGTTTGAGATTGGATATTTGTTTTTCTAGAAAAAAAAAAACAGCAGTGAAAACAAAATAAGCAAAGGAAAAAACAAAAACAGTAAAAAAGTGTTTCAGGCATTCTTTCATTTAAAGCAAAATGAAGACAAAAAAAAAGAAGGCAGCAGGAACTCAAAAAAACCCCCCAAAAAACCACAAACCAAAAAAAACTCTCCAACACACCAAACTAAAGCAAAACTAACAAAAACCCCACAACAACCTTTCCAGGTCACCTTTAGCAAACTTAGGCAGATAAACTTGCTATCTGCCAGGGCATTAAAGTAAGTTCAAAGGATTTCAGAATTCATTCATTCCTCCTAGGTTCCAAGATCTTTGTCTATTCTCTTTTTTCAACATGTTTTAGGTTTTCTCAACTGGTTGGACCTTCTATAGTTGGAATAAGATGAAGATTGTGATTCAATAACCAATAATCAGGTGTTGTCAAATGAACTGAAACTCTTCCTTTGTAGTACAAAAGCATACATTCCAAAATTATACTCTTCAAAGCCACCAACTGGATGAGAGACAAATTTCTAAAATTTTTCATAGACATCATAACACATGCTGTCAAAATAGTTAGGCTTTCTAGGTAGAAACTAGATTTGCTTCTACCCACTTCTTATTTGAAATACACATTTTCAGCTACAGCTTGGATTTTGCCAGAACTCCTAGTTATTAGGATTAAGTTGTATAGTGAAAGTAAATGGAAGTACAATTACTGCAAATATTTGCTACACTCTTACAAAACCTAAAACTTATTTCACTCTTATTTTTGTGACTCATACAAGCAGTGCTTCAGTGATTTCAAGGAAAACTCTCCCTAGTTAACCTGTAAGTCTTTATTCTGGTTAGATGGATCTTTATTTTTAATTGAGTTTGTAATTATATTTAATTCAGTTACTAGTTGCAGTATTTATAACCCCAGGAAGTGTTCATTCAGCCTTCATTCAAATTTAATGAAAGCTGAAATTACTCAGCATGTTGCAGGTAAGTACCATTTTTTCTGTTGTAAAAGCTTGTTTATTTACTTAAAAACAGATTTATATGCAAGTGTTGAGGTAATAAAGCTGTCTTCTCAGCTACTGTAGTAACTAGCCATTCTTCCAATTAAATACACTTTGAGTATTAAAAAGACTTAAATAAACAAGCAAAGGTTTCCAAGTTTTGAAGGAAGAGAGCAAAGTGGTCCACAGGAATATTCAGTGAACTAATGTTCCAAACTTCACTAGAATAAATCCGATGCAATGGTTTCCCCCATTGTATCCAAAAACCATCAGTGCTAATAGTTATATAACCACCTCCTGCCAGATACAAAATCACTGAAGACAGCACTTACCTTTTGGGACATTCTTGCCTATATGTAAATCTAAATATGAACCACATGCTAATACCTCAAAATGCATGAACCCTGATCAACATATCCTCCTCTCCCCAACATCCCATCAACAGCTGCCTGTCTTTGAAGCACAACAAAACCATATTGTGACTCTTCTTGAGTCTATCAACCATTGCCCTAAACCAGTGGCTTTCAAAGATGTTTTCGCCACAACAAAACTTTTTTTTTCTAAATTGTCCTCATTCATCGCTCTATTATGCCAGTCAGACATGCTGTCTTAGTATCCAGAACTAAACTGGTACCTTGTTTTGCTACTACGCTCCCAATATCTCACAAGAAGTCCAACTGTTCTTCGTTCCTGCTACAACATTTAAAACTCTCTCTGCAGCAACATCAATGTTATCACTATGATCTTCTCTTACACAATGATCTCACACTTCCTGTTTTTACTTTCACAGCTTTGCACATGCTCTAAACAATTTTATTCTGTTAAGTTCCTACATTTCCCTCACTTGTCTCCCCTTTAGTCTTATTCAAACTTAGCATTGGCTTCAGTAACATCTCTTGGGTTTGAAGCTCCTTTCCACTCACTCTTATGAATCAAGTATAATTAATTTTTATTTTCAAACATCTCTACAGCATCCAATAATTTTGCCAAGTCCTTCAATAAATCACAATGTGGAAAAAAATTATAAAGGATCTGCCCTTTCAAAGTATTTATGTCCTACTTGCCCACAACCTACAATGATTACTTTCAGGAAGATCACAACTTCATTTCCCGTTAGTATTTTCTCTTCTGGAAAGATTCCTGCGCTAATAGCCAGCACAAAATCCTTAATGTCCTCTTTAATACTAGCCAGGAAAACCTTTGTGGAACATATACTAGGGAGTTTTATGCTTTCTTTATGCTCACTTTTTTCACTCCTTAAGTTTTCAGTAGTAACTGCTAGAAAGCACAGCTATGTAAGAAGGGTACTGAACTGCCAAAATCAGTCTTGGATAAGATAAAGATGCTTTTAGATAGATGGATGGCATTTCAATGGATTTCAGTTATTTTTCTCACTCCACAATGCCAGGTTCCATGGTATCCCATTCACTCCTACAGTTTTTATTCAATATGCTAAAAACTATGTTAGCATTATTACCATTTTAAACCTGATACAACCAAACATTGAATTTGAAAGGGGTTTTTTTGCAGCCTGTCTTGAGTTGAAATAAACCAGTCCTTCCTAACAATATGCATATACAGGCTAGTCATAGAATCCTAGAATGGTTTGGGTTGGAAAGGGCATCAAAGATCATCTAGTTCTAATCCCCCTGACCAGTGGTTCCAAGTCACAACATCACTTGCACTGAACCAATTGCTTGCCTCTAATTCCAATTTCTTACATCCTGATAAAGCTGTGAAATTACCAAAGCCAGAGTAATCATCTCAGTAGAAAATTTCTACAAAATAGCAAAAGTTTTTGATAGAATTCGGATGATCTCTGATACAATATTTCCTGCAAGTCTCAGTATCTTTTCCACTTCCTCTTCTTCTGTTTCTCTGATCTGTTGCCTGTCTTGCTACCAGCAATTTTCCTTTCTCTTTGCTCCTTCAAAGGCAAAACAAGACAGGCCAATTAGAAGGATGTATCAACCTTAAACCTTATAATATTCCCCCTTAAACAGGGCACTGATCTGTTTAACTATTATTGAGTTAACTTCGCTGTTCCACAACAGACAGCTTTATAGAACAGTGTAGCTTTTTTTTATGGTTCCAATGTCAAAGTACGAAGGAAAGTCCAAAAAGCTTCATTATCATACAAAAATAAATCTATCCAAACAAAACAGAACTGCACATCATTCATTTCCAAGAGGTAAGGTACACACTCACTTAGCAGGCATCCAACAAAACATCTAGCTCCATTTAAAAAAAAAAAAGTCAGCAGAAAAGCACATGAATGTACCACTCTGCTGGTTCAGCAAAGTTTGCTGGTTTGCCTCAACTGCTGCAGAAGTATGCCGAGTTCAGACACGGAACTTAGCTGAATGTCCTGGTTTCAGCTGAGACAGAGTTAACTTTCTTCACAGTAGCTAGCAAGAGGCTATGTTTTGAATTTTTGCTGAGAAGGTGGCTAATAACATACTGATGTTTATAGTTGCTGCCAGGACAGTCAAGGACTTTTCAGCTTCTCTGCTGTGCCAGTGTCTGCAGGTGCAGGAGAAGCTGGGAGGGAGCACAGCTCCAATTACTAGCCTGGGATTTGACCCTAGATTCACCATTGAGACCCCTTATTGGTTTATACAGTAGCTGGCAGACTTCCAAGTGATATATTACTATTATAATTATCATTATTATTTTCAAATTTTTTGTAGTTTACTTATTAAATTGTTCTTATCTCAACCCATGAGTCGCTTTTCCCTTCCCCCCTCTAATTCTCTCCCCCATCCCTGGAAGGAGGGTGAGCAAGCGGATGTTATGGTGTTCTGCTGCCAGCCAGGGTCAAAACTAGAGCAGTGGAGAACAGACATGCCTTCTGAACTGCAAAAGCCTGCTGGTTTTTGTTAAGGAAAGAGAGAAACAAATATGGAATGGAAGAATAAGACAGAAGTCTGAGAAGGGAACTTAAGGAAACACAAATGCTTTGAAGAACCTCCTTGAAATCTGCTCACACCACTCAACAACAGATGACTCCAAACCAGCTGCTGAAATATGTGGAATTTTTCTGTATCTCTGTCCAGCAGATCAAGATCCAAAGGTAAACAAAAAAAGACATCTCCTTCAATTCAAAGGAAGTGCCTGACTTATCCTGACATCATCGAGTTTGGTTGATACTCCAACTTTTGATACCCTATGACCCATCGACGTATACCCAATTTTACAGGATTATGATCAACCTCAAGAATATAAAGAGCCCTTCTTGAATTTTCAATTCCTTATCCAAGTCTCAGAGGCCTCAATTCCCCACTTAACTTTCACAGAAAGTAGCAAAATTGGAGGGGGAGGAAGCAGGGAGGGAGACAATAAAAAAAAGTCTTGGTCACTAAACCTAGGAATGATACTACTTCTATCATCACTCCCCAAAGCAATACCTTAGAGGACTTGTTATACAACTAAGCAAAGGTTACAGCACAGGCCCCCAAAAAAATCAGGACTGCTTCTGTATTATGAAATTATTTGTGATCTTGCTTCTCTTCCTACTAATTTTAAAGTCACTAAAAGAGTTATGATCAAATTTTCAATGCAACAGGGTCTATTCATTTTCTCAGTCTTATTGCTAGAGTATTGACAGACTTTGTGTAAATCTCACAACCACCTCCAAAACTCAGATGTTTCCCTGCAACACCCAGAGGAAAACAAACAAACAAACCCCCACACACGTACACAAAAAAAGCAAACTTGAAACTGACCTACATTAAGAGGACATTGCTCATACTTCCAGAGACTCCCAACTAGATTTCAGTTTCTGGTAAGGTCTATCATTTCTCAGAAATCCAGATGCAAAATTCCTTATAAGCTGAACACAGGTTAATGGTTTTTAAGACATAAGTTAAACCCTCTTCCTCAGAGATGATGAGAAAATTTTTATGCCTTTAATAATCAGTGAGCTAGTATCAGAAACCTGACTGAGTACTTTCACCTGTTCCTGAGAGGCATACCCATTCATATATGGAAGGACAAATTTCAGCTGAGCTTTGAAACAAGCAGACCATACAATAAAGGACCTCTAAGAAGCTGTTCCGAAAACAAATGGATCAAGAGCCAATGATACAGGTCCATAAACCAGGCAAGCGAAAAAGAGGCATCTTCAAAATAAAAGGAGGCCACCATCCAAATATTAGGGGATGAGCTGAAATGCAAACCACACTGACATAGCAACCCTTCTGCACTGTTATAATGAAAAATGCAGCAACGTATAAAGAGGATGAATTATTTACAGTAAGCTGTTGGAGTTTAATAAAAAGTTTATGAGTAAAGAGATATTTGAGATACTCTCTTACTAGCTAAAAATGAAGACATGCAGTATTTTGATACCAGAGGTTGCTAAACTGTGGTCCTACACAGATGTTATAATTCTTTTGGTACTGCTTCCATACTAGTACTTTCCTCCTGAAAAAACCAGCATTATTGTTCTTCCAGATAAGCAGGTTTTGGTTTTATGAGACAGCTATTATTTGATTGCAAGAGGAAGAAGAGGAAGCCTACGCAAGAAAAACAAACAAGAAACCCCTACAAAACATCACCTTCCCCAATTAAAAGTTTGAGCCTCTTGCTTGGTAACTGCAGTCCACCTACATAGTGGCATGCTTTGTCAGTGCTGAGACAAAAAAAAAAAAAAAATTAACTAGAGGATTCCATTTTATATTGAGATCTCTTAATGTAGTGTTGTTCGAGTCTCTGCTTCAAAGAGTTCTTGAAGTGCCCCAAAGGTACAGAAATTCCCCTTCTAACTCTATTTCTTACTTTTACCTCTTGCTACTGTGATGCAATTGCATATAAACAATCAAAAATAATTTCTAATAAGATAACCACCTTCTTCACATGCATTTTCATTCACTTTAACTTATTTTCTACAGTAGCTACCCCATGGGATGACTAAGTACTTGAAGTCTCTTTCTGCTTAAGAACAGCAAAAAGGCCACACAGCAAGAAGCCAAGGATATGCATACACATCCAAAAGGTGTTAACTTGATTACTTGTTAATGCACTTACCTGATTTGATTTCTCTACTGTGCTACTGGGAACCTCTGTGGTATCCTTCACAAAAAAGTTATCTATGATGTGTCTCTCTGCACATTCCTGACCACAAATTGGACAGCGGATAACACCGACTGGGGGGGGAAAAAAAATATCTGATTATGCTTGCACAACTTAAGATATATCAAACAACTTCAAAGACAGCTTGTAAGGATAAATACTTTGAAAGGATGTTTTAATACTTTCCTGTCAATAAGGTGTGAGGAAAGAGAAGCTAATTCTCATTTATCACTGAAGTAACCTTTTGCTTGTTATTCCCTGATGATGTATTCTTTCAAGCAGGGTCAAACACCTTTTTGTTTCACTCCTATAAAGAATTTGCCTTACTCTTACAGAAAATAAATTCCTTTTGTCTAAAGGGAATGTATTCCCATTGACAATTTGTTGTTATAGAATGGATTAAAGTAAACACTTATTAGTGTGGAGTATTAATTAGTGACATTGAGCAGTATTACATACACACACATATACGCCGGCAGTGCGACACGACTGACTTCCAACTAAGCAGTATGAGAAACTGAATGTAATAAATTCAAAAATTAATGAGGTAAGTTGTATAGAGGAAGAACAGACCTGTATGAATATCATGACTACCTTCACACTAAGCAAGGGAAAGCAAGAAAGACATAGGAAAAAATATGCAACATCTTCTCTCTTCTCCCCTGCAAGACACACTGGGGAACAATTCTAAGACAATAACATACTTAAGACTCCTGGTTGAAGAGCTAAGAACCAACATCTCAAAGGGTTAAACAATTAATAGTTTTCTCAAGAGAATAAAAAGGACAAAGTCAAGTTCAAAACTTGGGCTTCAATAGTGAGTAAACTAGACTGAAATGGAAAAGATCTATATAAACATTTTGAAGTAGATACCTTTCCTAGCTGCACAAACCAGAATGTTTTATTAGCACTGACACTTGTTAATCATCAAAGAAAAATCTCTAAAATTCTAGGCATTAACATCTTGCTTTAAGAAAATTACGACAGTCATTACCACCAAAAAAAGAAAAGAATTGAAACTAAATTAGGTTGAAACAATAACATAGGCTGTGGATGTCCTCATGCAAAGCCTACAGCAGAAAGTCACATGAATCCACACTGGGCTAGACTCTAGACCTAAAGCTGCCATTTGAGAGGAGGCATGATTTTAGGGCCTTAAAGAAGATCAGAGGCACCGTTTAATCCAATGAATTTAACACCAGTATATAATTCATCATTTGTATATTTAACTAAACCAGCATGAGCTTAATTTTGCTCCTGTTTTGTTTTTACAATAAAATGTGGAAGTACAGAAACTATTAAATATCTTGCTTCCTGCAGAAGAACTTAATGCCTTAATGTAAGTACTTCCTACAAGATTCAGGCAACTTTTTTATAACGTTCTTCCAATACACACCAGAGATTTAACTGGCCAACGCACTATAAAGCAGTTCTCTAATAAAAGTCCACCAGTTTTACTAAATTAGCTCTTCATTCTGGAAATTCAGCCAGCAGTTTTCCACTTGTGTGCAAGGCATTTCACTTTAACCTAAAGGTTATGATGTTAAGCCCGGTTTTATTATAATTGCCATTTTGCCAGTCTGCACTTGAATACATATTTGTGCAGCTCCCTTTCATACACTAATTCTATATTTTGGATAAACCTTTTGTAACTTTGTTTTATATCATTATCATGAAGAACAATTCTGGTGTATCAGGAAGTTAATAGAACTCCAAGTACTGAACTTCTCCTTTTATTAAGCAAATCAATTTACCACGGTCAAGAGTGAACAAACATCCTAATACTCAAGCTACATACTTGCTGAAAAAAAGATTATTTTTTACATTTTGCAACCGTGGCCATTACAAACCACCATCTGTTCCCTCGCTGCTCATTCTTGACCTGGACAAAGCACAGTGCTTTGGGCCAGCAGAAGGGACTCAATTGGTCTTTGCATGTGTTTGGGAGTGGCGTATGGACAGAGAATGAGACTGGCAGGCTGATTCAGATGTGGATGCATTTCTCCTGCTCTCCCAAGCTTCACCTTCAGCCCCCAATTTGCTTCACTGACCAAATGCACTACTGCTTACACTGAAGCAACATGAGAAGCAACACAAGGATGGGAAGGGGCCAACACCACCACTTAAGATTAAATATAGAACCACTGTCTTTGAAATAGATTAGTTGTATTAAGCCGAGTTTGAACTGAAGACATGGAGGGCAAGGAAGGGCCAGGGAACAAGTTAGGAAAGGTACTAACATAAATCAAACATTTTATTTCAATTTTCGACAACAAAATACTGCCAACTACCTGTTCAAGAGATCACTTAAAAATTCTAGACTGAGATGGGAGAAGCAGAAAAGGAAAACTGCCCAAACCTCTCAAAATCCTCTTGAAACTTTTTCTAGAATTCCTTATGCTGCCTAGCCTTAAGTCAAAGTTTTATTCTGCAACTGTGTGTGAGTATGTTTGCTTTTGTTATAAACCTGGATTGATGACTGCTACACAAATCAGTTTTAACCCACGTTTAATCAACTTCAGGACCATGGATTTAAGTGAAAATACTTAATATCATGATCTCAATGTAACTGTCATAGCCAGGTTACACTGTTACGCACACAGCTGGCAACACAAGCTTTTTCTGCACAAAATAAACACAGCTTAGCCTGGCAGCATTCCTTTCAGGTCCTTATCTACTATTCTTAATGTATCCAAGGCTCTTTTAGTAACATACTGAACAATATAAACCATATGCGGTCTTTTCTTCTCCACTCTCCACGTGGGAAATGGAAGGTGGAAGCAGAGAGCTCTGTACATGTTTTTTTCATGCACGTTGCATTTGAAACAAAAGGTTCATGGTAAATAACAGCACCCAACGAATTCATGCAGGTTCATTTCGGAACTTCAATCCGGCCACCTCAAAGAGACGCTCTCGCACAGATATGCTGCACATCAGTGTTGGAATTTCTACCCTTGCTCCTTATCAGAAAACAAAGAGTACAGTAGAGTGCCCTGTATAATCACCACACAGTCCCGCAGAACACGGTGAGGAGCTGGCAGTGCACCAGAACCCACGTAACTAAGAAACACTAAGTTACTGCAAAGGAAAAACATGGTTTACAATTAACCCAGAATTCAGAGCTTCCTATGGGAAAACAGAAGCAGATGAGGAAAGACAATGACTATTTTGGAATTAAATGGAAAACATAGATAAATATGAAAACAATGTATTCAAAGTTTAAAAAAAAAACAAACCACTGATTCCATTCAAGTAAATACACACTTTCTAACTCAGCAAAGCTCATGGACAAACATACCTCTGTTCCAGCATTAGCATTTCTACTGACATTTATCACTGTTACCTATCATAATTTGGTACTAAACTTTTATTTGGAAATAGTAATTTTCAAGTAAATTCTTACTTTGTGATGCTAGTTACAGAATGCAGCTTTTTGTATAAAATGATAAAACTACACATAGCCCAAGGAGAGTTTGCAGCCATTCATCCAATAAAAATTGTACTGTCGTCAGCTATCACAGATCAGATGGAATTTAAGTCAGCTCATGTTATTTATGTTGCTTACAGCCCAAAATGCATCAGCACAACCCTAAGAGCATGCACCCATAAAGGCCAGGCTGCAGAGTTATGAACAAGAAATAATGGGAACAGAAGCAGGAAATTTATTGGATTTGTTCAGTATCTGTTTCTGAAGATGACACATAACATTTAATTTTTTTTCACGTGCAGAGTCCTCTTTTAGAATAAAATTTGGTCCGGTAACATGGTGCAGTGGGTTTATGTGTCCACGTTTTGGTAGTGGGGGGTGAGGGGGAGCTACAGGGTGTCCTCTGTGAGAAAACACCAGAGGCTGCCCTCACATCAGACAAAGCCAATTCCAGCCAGCTCCAAGATGGATGCACCACTGGGCATAGCTGAACCCATCAACAATGCTGATGGTGCCTCTGTGTTATGTGTTTAAGAAAGGGTAAAAAATGCTGTGCAAGAGCTGCTGGGAGAAAGAGTAAGAAAAATGTGAGAGAAACAGCCCTGCAGACATCCAAGTCAGTGAAGAAGGAGGGGGAGGAGGTGCTCCAGGTTCTAGAGTAGAAATTGCCCTGCAGTCCATGGAGAAGACCACGGTGAAACAGATTGTCCCCCTGCAGCCCAAGGAAGACAACATCAGAGCAGATATCCACACTGCAGCCTGCAGAGGACCCCGTGCTGCAGCAGATGGATATGCCGTGAAGGAAGCTGCAGTCTGTGGAAAGCTCACACCAGAGCAGGTTCCTTGCAGGAGCTGCATCCCATGGAGAGGTGCCCATGCAGAAGCACGTTTTCTGGCAGGAGCCATGGCCTATAGGGGACCCACACTGGAGCAGCATGATTCTGAAGGACCATAACCCATGGAGAGGACTCACGTTGGAGCAGGTCTTGAAGAAAGACCCCACGCTGGAGTAGGTCCTGAGGGACTGTATCCCATGAGAGGGACCCCACGCTGCAGCAGGGAACAAGTGGGTGGAGGATGGAGCAGTAGAGAAGAACTGTTATGAACTGACCATAAGCCCCATTCCCTCTCCACGCTCAAGGAGGTAAAGTCAGGACTAAAGGAGTGAAGTTGAAGAAGGGTGTGAAGAGGAAGGTGGCTGGGTGGGTGTGTGTATGTGCGTTTCTTACCATCCGAATCTATTAAATTGACAATAAATTAATCTTCCTCACATTGAACCTGTTTTGCCCATGATGGTAACTGGTAAGCTCCCTGTTTTCATCTGTCCTGTTGAGGGGGAAGAGAGAGAAAGCAGCTTGGTGGGCATCTGGCAGCCAGCCAAGATTAACCCACCACACACAGAGACAGACCTTAGTAGTTCTTGCAGTTTTTTGTTTGGATTTTTTGTTTGGTTGGTTTGGGGGTTTAGTTTGGGGTTTTTCTTAAAGCTAAATGCTTTAAACTAGAATTCTGTCTTAGCTGGTAAGAGAAGTCGATCTGAAAGAGATGCTGGCTTGTATGTAACTTGGCAGGTTTTATATGGAAAAGACAGTGCTCTGTCATGCTGCAACCTTAGACAGATGCCAAAAATACATAATATGCCAATTACAATATCTGTACCACTTTGGAGGTCTAATCCAGTTTAGCATATTGCTAATAATAGAGAGTTTATGCTTCTTCCTTTTCCCAAGTAAAAAGGACTCGACTCAGAAGAGTACTGAGACAGTGTCATTGTCCTCAAACTAGTCTACTAGATGACACCATATACTGCTATAGCTTAAGAGAAATTTTATTTAAAAGATAGTTGGAAAACTCTGATAGATGCATCCTAGAGTCTTTCAGTGTTAACAATAAAAATGGAAACTGTGTATATTAAATACCAGCAGATCAATGACTTGATGGTTTTAATTGATTATTCCTGCTATCTCAAATCATATTATTTATAATATATTTTGTACGTACAGTTATGATTTTATAAAAGAATCACAGATACAGTTTGAAGCTCTTTTTTCCTCATCCAGTTTTTCAGTACAAAGGCTTAACTCAGACCATGGACAAGTATTCCCTCCTAGGTCCAAAAACACAACACTGCGCACTAAGGATTACTGCTCTCCCCAGCCTCCTAATAGACCTGATAGAGGAGGTTGACTTCTTCTGGTGCACAGAGAGTCAGGCTGGTTTAAAGTCATAACTTAACAAATAATATTAAGACAGATGGCTGAAGCAAACATAGGGACACACATACAAGCTTTTTGCTAACAAGTCAACAGGTGCTGTAGCAAGCAATTGCCTCAAACTTTTTTGAACAAGCAAAAGGACAATGATATTTTCCAAAGACATTTCTGCTTGCATTTCATGAGAGTTACAATAACATACAGGAAGAAAGAATGAAATACAAAGGCAAGTTAATACAGCCCCAGAATCTTCTTACTACATTCCATGTATGTATTTGCTTTTAATGTCCGTTGGTACACCTTTTTTCCTCACAAACATTTAATTACATTTTAAATTGTTCCTAAAGCATGCATAGAATGCAATTCCTAAATTAACCTCTGAATTAACATTTCCTCAATCGAGCCCCTCTGCAAGACACTTTCCTAGTGCTACAATGAATCAAACATTTTTTTTTTTTTTTTTTTGAAGAGTTAAGGTTTGGAAGCAATGGTGCAATAGCTTTCTAACCATGCTTAAACTTATTGCCAATGCTTCCTTCCTCTTCTTTCAGGACACCTGCTTCCACAATTGTGCCACAATTTGCTTCAGTGCTTTCAAGGCTGGGAAACTTAGTTACTCCACTATGGTCTGTTCAAGAAGATTCAAATTCTGAGTAGCAGGATATTAAAAGCCATTTAGTTGATCTCCTTATATAAATGGGTAAGGAAAATAATTCATCCTCTAATGAAACTATACAAGAAGCATACTATGACATCAAAACAAGAACCACATTATTGCTTTAAAGGAAAAAAAAATTCCCAAACTATTTTGCTGTTCATCCCCCAACCCCCTCCAAATCCCATAGTTTTGTTAACAGGAACGAGGAAAAAGAGAGAAGAAAAATCTAGAAAGCTGCAGCACATAACATTATTAACCCACAAACTGTAGGATAATGTAATGAAATTTCACTAATCCAAAAATTACTTCTGCAGTTGATATTTGCTATACCAAGTATATATTCTTCAAGTACATTACCAAGTCAGCCCACACCTACTATTTTCACAAAAGACAAAAAACCCCAGTATCTTTTCAAATAAATATTGTCAGAGCAATCATAACACAGCAGCATCAGAAACAGCATCAGATTCAGGTTAACATTTTGGCTAACGCTGTTCAGGTTAAGCACATTCCTGGATAGTGAGGGGCTACTGTTTATCCTGATTAAATTTGGGGTAAGGAGGACCTCTAATTCCAC